TCTGTTTGATCTGGCACTTATATTTTTCTGCAGCCCAAGGTGTGTTTTATACTCAAGTATGTAACACTGTTGTTAAAAAGATCTAGATTGTATCCACTGATGTTCTTTTTCTGGACTACCCAAAAAGTTCCCTTTTGCATCCCATATTGGCTCCAGCATGTTAGGGTATATGGAACCAGTGGCAGGACAAAACACTGAGCTGAATTCTCATTGAGTGACTGAAAATCCATTTGGACAACATGGCATATATCTTTTGTTTATACATGTAAGAAAAAAGTACATACTTCATATGTAATTAAAAATTCTAATAGTTGTACCACATTTTGCTTTATGCATGTATATACTCATCCAATTAACAGAATGAAAGATAATTGTAGTCTGATTCACTCCCTAACCATGTGTGTACCCTATCTAATTTTTGTATCTTTATGCTTAGACATGTTTAGTTATCTATAGTTAAGTCAAGTAGTAATTTTCATGTTTAAAAAAGATTTAAACTACCTCACAGTTTGTTCTATATTATGTTTTAATTGTACATTGCCAGGGAATGCCAAGTGTTTTGTCTGCCAAGAATACAAGGCTGCTATTTCAGCTATTAAGATGCCACAAGGAGAACTTGTATTGTTTATACAAATTGAGAAAATGGAATCAATAAAATTGATTTTGTATGCCTAAGGCAGACTTGAATACAAAGCGAGAGGAAAGGAAAAATATACTGCTCAAAAAAATAAAGGGAACACTTAAACAACACAATGTAACTCCAAGTCAATCACACTTCTGTGAAATCAAACTGTCCACTTAGATAGCAACACTGATTGACAATCAATTTCACATGCTGTTGTGCAAATGGAATAGACCAGGGGTCTCCAACCACCGGGCCCCGGACCGGTACCGGTCCGTGGAACATTTTCTACTGGGCTGCCGGTTTGCTGGGCGCCGCCATCTTGTTTCGATGAGAAAGTGCTTCCGGGTGAGCTTTTCCGGTTGGAAAGCGGCGTTTGGGTCCTGAAGGAATCCTCGCGCCTTAGTTTCATCGAAGGGGGGGGGGCGGCTTCGAACGAAACTAAGGCGCAAGGATTCTTTCAGCACCCAAGGCAAGGCGAGCCGAGCGGCCGTCCCGAAGCCATCCCGAAGCCCATCGACAAAGGTACAAAGGAGGAGTTGAAGGTGGCGGGGAGAAGCGGGGGACGGCTGGCTGGCCGGTCGCTCGGCTCACCTTGTCATGAGTACTGATGCCGGTACTGGGTCGCGGATCATTTTGTGATGCCGGTACCGGGCCGTGGCACAAAAAAGATTGGGGGCCACTGGAATAGACAACAGGTGGAAAGCATAGGCAGTTAGCAAGACATCCCCAATAAAGGAGTGGTTCTGCAGGTGGTGACCACAGACCACTTCTCAGTTCCTATGCTTTCTGGCTGATGGTTTGGTCACTTTTGAATGCTGGCGGTGCTTTCACTCTAGTGGTAGCATGAGATAGAGTCCACAACCCACACAAGTGGCTCATCCAGGATGGCACATCAATGCGAGCTGTGACAAGAAGGTTTGCTGTGTCAGCATAGTGTCCAGAGCATGGAGGTGCTACCCGGAGACAGGCCAGTACATCAGGAGACGTGGAGGAGGCCGGAGGGCAACAACCCAGCATCAGGACCGCTACCTCCACCTTTGTGCAAGGAGGGACAGGAGGAGCACTGCCAGAGCCCTGCAAAATGACTTCTAGCAGGCCACAAATGTGCATGCGGCTGCTCAAACGGTCAGAAACAGACTCCATGAGAGTGGTATGAGGGCCCGATGTCCACAGGTGGGGGTTGTACTTACAGCCCAACACCGTGCAAGACATTTGGCATTTGCCAGAGAACACCAAGATTGGCAAATTCGCCACTGGCAACCTGTGCTCTTCACAGATGAAAGCAGGTTCACACTGAGCACATGACAGACCTGACAGGGTCTGGAGATGCCGTGGAGAATGTTCTGCTACCTGCAATATCCTCCAGCATGACCGGTTTGGCAGTGGGTGAGTAATGGTGTGGGGTAGCATTTCTTTAGGGGGCCGCACAGCCCTCCATGTGCTCGCCAGAGGTAGCCTGACTGCCATTAGGTATCGAGATGAGATCCTCAGACCCCTTGTGAGACCATATGCTGGTGCTGTTGGTCCTGGGTTCCTCCTAATGCACGACAGTGCTAGACCTCATGTGGCTGGAGTGTGTCAGCAGTTCCTGCAAGACGAAGGCATTGATACTATGGACTGGCCTGCCCGTTCCCCAGACCTGAATCCAATTGAGCACATCTGGGACATCATGTCTCGCTCCATCCACCAACGCCACATTGCACCACAGACTGTCCAGGAGTTGGGGGATGCTTTAGTCCAGGTGTGGGAGATCCCACAGGAGACCATCCGCCACCTCATCAGGAGCATGCCCAGACGTTGTAGGGAGGTCATACAGGCACATGGAGGCCATATACACTCCTGAGCCTCATTTTGACTTGTTTTAAGGACATTACATCAAAGTTGGATCAGCCTGGTATTTTTTTCCACTTTAATTTTGAGTGTAACTCCAAATCCAGACCTCCATGGGTTGCTACATTTGATTTCCATTGATAATTTTTGTGTGATTTTGTTGTCAGCACATTCAACTATGTAATGAACAAAGTATTTAATAAGAATATTTCATTCATTCATATCTAGGATATCTTATTTTTGTGTTCCCTTTATTTTTTTGAGCAGTGTACATTAAGCCCAAATAACATTCTCACAAATAATTATCAAAAGTACTTATCTGAGGATGTTGGAAAAAAAATATTTTGACAAGGCAATTATCTTCAAACCATGATGTGCTCACAGGAAGGAAAAGTATGAAGGTTTTGGAATGATCTTTTCAATCCTTAGATGAATGTTGAAAATCTGCAAAAAATCTCAAAACATGCAGCCAATGGAGACCAAATATAGTTGAGTTGGAAGAAATCTACAAAGGGGTGAGGGATAAATTCCACAAGAAATTCTTAGCTGGCTAGAGGAAACCTGAAAGCTGTTATTTCTGCCATAGGTGTACTTTATTAAACTCATATGCCATGTGACAATGACTTACTAGAGTCCAAAGTGTAAGTGTCCAGACTTTTGCACTTGCTCTACTTTACATTTTTTTTTTTTTTTGAATCTCTGAACAATTGTGATAAGTATGCCATCAAATTTGCAGGAAAATTGTATTCACTGAAATGTACTACTTGAACAGGGGAATTTAAATCCTTGAACATAATTGTATATGGTTTTGTCATTCTCTATAGGTAGGGTTCCAAAGTGGTGCTCTTAACTAAATGCCTTAAATCTAGGCTAGTATCATCTGGGGACTTCTAGATATATTTTATTATTCTTGGCCATATTGGCTAAGATGACTGGAAGCTGAAATCCAAACCATCTAACCACCATTGATGAAGTGGTAAGAGTATAGTATTGCAGGCTAACTCTGTCTACAGCCTGGAGTTTGGTCCTGACCGACTCAAGGTTGACTCAGCCTTCTATCCTTCCGAGATCAGTAAAATGACCCAGACTGTTTGGGGCAATATACTGACATTTGTAAAATGCTCAGAGTGCTTTAAAGCAATATGGACTGGAGTCTGAGTGCTATTGCTATCCATAATCTAGGACCAGAGTATCTGACAATTCACACAACACCCATTTCCAAATCCAGGTTGGTTGATCTATTTTATAGACAAGGTAACTTCCCGGAAGTCCATCTATAATGTAATCAATTCTATCAGGCTGCAGAAATTACTTTTTCTGAAATACAAAGTTTTTCTTTGCAATTGCTGGGGGAGCATCAAAGGTGGGCCACACTGATAGCTGGCAAAGAGTGTTCCAGGTATGTATCTAGCCAAGTCTTGTAAACACAGTCATACATATCTCAACATATAGCCTTGTTTACAGAATAAAAATACATTTTGGAAAAGAATTTTCTTTAAGCAAGTTACTTTCACAATCCAAGGCCATCAAATAAATTCATGCAATTCCATTTCAATGTGTTTTATTGAAAGGTACTCTTGTTGCTTATAGGCATAATAGCACATTTTGAAAACGAGTTCCTTCTTGACATTGTAAACATCTTGAACATAGTTCAGTTTCAATCTTCAAATACTGAAGGCATATAAGATACAATTACTCAATTTAATAACGTCCATAAAAAATGATAGTTTGAGGAAACTTCCCATCAGTTTTGTTCTGAAGAGCAGCTTGCAATGAGGTAGAAGTAAATGGTTTGTCCAAATGCTGGGTTAAACCAAAAACAAGTCTTCAGATTTCTGTAATTGTAGTAAGTCTTCTAAATTTGTTACTTTGATTCTAAAGGCAAGCCAGTCAGCTTTAAGTGAGACATTAGGACAATATCAAATTACACCAACAGTATAGATGCTAAAATTAAAAAGAAAAGAATTGTTGCATTGTTTTTCCAATTTTTCTTGTGGCAATTTAAACACAACCAGTAAAATGCCCATACAATAACTTAGGTAGAAAATGAAAATGAACACAATATAATTAGAAACACATTATTACAAAAAGTGATCTTAAAAAGAACCAAAGTCTAAAAGCTATTGAACGTTGAGAGTTGATTTGATAGATCACTGCTGGGTAGCAACTGTTGCTTCCTTAGGCTTTTAACATTCAAGAAATCACAATGCACAACTTAAGTTCTTTCTAGTAAAATTCACTCCAACTTTGGGCTGAACAATGCAGAACACACACTGATACAGTAGAATATATTCTCAAATTGAAAAGATAATTAAAACTGTTTAAAGTAGCATAACACTAAATTCTATGCTTTGAAATTATTCAACAATGTTTTACTGAAAGCTTGATACTAATCTAAAACCACAAACATCCCCCCAAATATGTGCTTAATATAAACAAAACTTTTTATGCTTCTAATAGCAACATGTAATTTTTTTTAATCCAAACCAGGGAAGTGCAGTAAAATTAGTTAGCTTCTGTTTGCAGTGAAATACAGAGGTGTCATATCATGCCACCAATTTTGGTATGTGCAAGCAGAGCTAAAGACTGAGGTGAAAGACTGAGGCAAAATCTAAAATGTTAATTCTATTTTTAGACATTGCCAACATTCTCAGCTGGTGTCTGACTTGCATTCTTCAAACAGCTTTAATTTCCACAGTGAATATTATGTACTTTTCAATTTCTTTCAAATACTTGGTTACAATATGATACTTGTTAAAAATGTGTTCTTTATGTTAATACACTTTAAATATAGACCACTAAATTTGGCTCTTGAACTCTGTATGACCTAGGACCAACATATCTTTAAGTCAGTTCCAAACCTCTAATGTGAATCATGGTTTAAAGCAAAGATGGGGAACTATGGCTCTTTTATGACTTGTGCACTTCAATTCACAGAATTCCTGAGGCATCATGAAGGGGCCATAGTTCCCCACTTATGGTTTAAAGGAATTATCTAATTATGTATTGAATTTTATGTTACTGTTTCTCAATCACTACCATTACTATGAATCAGATGTAGCAACTTTCCAGTAGTAATGTTCCTACTCTCACTAGAAAATACATGCATAGCTATTTTATTAATTTAGTGACGGTTATGTTCATTTTTATATTCATTTTCTGCCACCATTTAGTTTAGAAATGCAGAATTGTTAAGGATCAAGCTCTATGATGACTCACGGTTTCACATTTCCAGAGGACAGATAAAACAAAAACAGCTGACTTGTTTGTATTTTAGCCCCAAGCATTGTTTTATAAAAAAAAGTCCTCAGTTTTATAAAGAACCTTGACAAGATTAAGAAGAGTCTTGTGGTAACACACTATATTGTTGTATAGCTCAGAGCTAAAAAAATTGTTGCAATTTAATATTCCTGAAATTAGACTTTCCATAGGTCAGAAGAATCCAACAAATTCTGCTTCAGCACCGGAAAGCTTATATCCTTATTGATTAAACATATGTTGCCAGACAATGTCCCATCCGCTCTTCTTCAGGATTACCACTAAATCAAAAAGAAATTTAAAAATTATTGTAACATAAAATACACTGATGCAAATATGGAATGAATTAGCATTGTTTACAAATAGAATAGTCTAAAAGAACGAACAGGAATTTATCTCTTTTGAAGATTCCAATTTTTAACTATTCCATTTTTATGTTATTAAACAAAATTGTGTTTATATTACAGGTAGTGCTCTACTTACAACAGCTCATTAGTGACCGTTAGAAGTTATGACACTGGAAAAAAAGTGACTTACGAACATTTTTCACACTTACGACTGTTGTATCATCCCCACATTCACAGGATCAAAATTCATGTGAACACCTTTTGTGACCTTTCAATGGGGAAGCCAGATTCACTTAACAATCATGTTATTAACAATTGCAGTGATGCACTTAACTATGGCAAGAACATTAGTAAAACAGGCAAAATTCATGTAACAACTGTCTCACTTAGCAACAGAAATTTGGGGCTCAATTGTGATCATAAGTCAAGGACTACTTGTCCTGTAATCTTTGCTGAATGCACTGTCATGGATGGCAACTCTATCAGCAAGGCATTGCTAGAATGAAAGTTTAACACAGGGGTCCCCAACCGCCGGTCCGCGGACCGGTACCGGGCCGCGGAACAAGCCTTACCGGGCCGCTGGTTGCTGGGCGCCGCCATCTTTTTTTGGTAAAAAAGTGCTTCTGGTGAGCTTTTCCGGGTAGAAAGCTCACCGGAAGCGCTGTTTCGCCATAAAAAGATGGCGGCGCCAGCGCTTCTGGTGAGCTTTTCCGGGTAGAAAGCCATTTCTACCCGAAAAAGCTCACTGGAAACGCTGGCGCCGCCATCTTTTTTGACGAAACAGCGCTTCCGGTGACGTCACCGGAAGCGCCTTTTCGTCATAAAAAGATGGCGGCGCCCAGTTGACGCCGGTACCGGGCCGCGGCGCCCAGCTGATGCCGGAACCGGGCTGCGGCGTCGAAAAGGTTGGGGATCCCTGGTTTAACATATCCGAAAGGTTCATGGTTTTGCAAAGATGAACTCTCTATTCTCCAATTCATTAAGGTCTTTAAGTTTACAAGTAATCCTCCCTTGCTGACCACAATTGGGGATCAGCAAATCTGTCACTAAGCAACTCAGTCATAAAATGAAACACCACAACCCACTTGCAAAATTAGTTTCAACTAGACTTGCAGCTTCCAGCCAGCTTTTCTATTGACTTTGCTTGCCAGAAGCTGGCTATGAAAGTCGCAAATGGAAATTACATGACTGTAGGATGCTATGACTATTGTAAAATGTGTGCTAGTGCTAAGCACCTGAATCACAATCACATGACCATCGGGATGGTGTGATGGCAAGTTCAAAGATCTGTCTTAACCAAATAAGCAGTAAGGGAGGACTTTGTACTTATGAAAGTACATTTATATAATACAAACCATCAGAAAACTCAACATTGATATTTTTCATAGTTTAGGGCTTTACTTCTTGGCTATTACATGCCCATCTACAATGAACAGTTTTTTGTGCCATTTTAAACTGAAGGCAAGTATATTAGCAACAAAGGATGAGCTGTGTTGGCAGTTCGAATCTCATCAGGCTCAAGGTTGACTCAACCTTCCATCCTTCCAAGGTGGGGAAAATGAGGACCCAAATTGTTGGGGGCAATATGCTGACTCTATAAACAGCTTAGAGAGGGCTGTAAAGCACTGTAAAGCGGTATATAAGTCTGCTATTGCTATATGGGTAATCCTCAGGAGAGCAATTGGGATTGGCTACTATAGCGCTATGTGATGCTGTTGTTAAGTGAGACATCATGTAACTACAAACTGATTTCGCTGCCAGCTTCTCCAGACTGCTGGAAGCCTGCTGTAAAACTCTCAAATGACAATCAGGTGATTGGAGAAACAATTGTGAAAAATGTAAGTTGAAGGAACTAAAGTTAAGTTTTTCAGCACCTTTATAACTTTGAACAGTGGCTAAACAGGGCAGTCGGGAAGCAGGAACTATCGGTATACTGAAACACATTAGGAAACTTGAGAATATAGAACAGACACTAGATTTCAATAGGCTTTCAACATGTTTTCCTAGAGATTATTTTTTCTGAATCATATATACATATACATATTTTTGTGCATACAAAGTTATATCTTCCAGATTCCTAAAAAAATTGCTGCAAGTTTTACACTATTTTTATTTCAATTCAAAAATTCAGAATACTTAAACATTCTACAATTTTTTGGGGTGTAACCTTTAAATTATTCCTATGACACCGAGTCAAAAATACATTTAGAAAGTTCACCTTTTAGGGACCAGTTTCTGGGATCGTGGGAAGATGGGCAATTCTGTAATAACTGTGTTTCAGTTGCCGGGCGGTACGACCAGACACAATCCATTTTAGCTTTTGTCCACTTGGCTTGGAACATTTGCTTGAGGAATATTCTAAGAGGCACTTTGATACAAGTTCTTTCCAAAAGGAAAATTCTCTACTATTTATCTATAGAAAAAAAATGGGAAATTAAAAACCAATCAGTATCACTCATGAGCAACCAATGCATGTCAATGGTGTTCAGATAACACATAACTGACACACCTTTATTTATCATGTGAATTTAAAAATGCTTATCCAATGCATAACTTTATTTAAGAGGATTTTAGGTTATCAAGAATTTTTTACTATAAAACTCTAGAGATATAAATATGAGGTTAAAAACTGACATATAGTAGGAAAATACACCAAAATGCAATCAGGTTCACAATTATTAGTATCTGTCATAAAAATATGTGCAAGATGTTGTAGGTAAATAATTAAAAGGAGAATTCTAGAATGAAGAGTCATGAGAGATAAATGTTATGAGGAACAAAAATAATTACAGTACTGTATGCAATATATAAGTGTCTAGGAAAAAAATATAAAAGAAAGCAGTGTGTTTTAAAATAAATTTCTCAAAAATGAGATTTTAGTGTTAAGTTATTTACAATGAAATATAGTTATGCATCAGAGAAAAAATAGGAGTTAAAATTAATGTATCAACATACACATACACAGATAAAATTTGATTCATTTGCAAATATAGTCCATAAAATGAAGCTGAAAAGGCTCTCTCTTACCAAATGTATCTCTAACAGTTAAAAAAGAGGCATGCCCTTCCAAAAGATATAAAGATGTAAATACACTCTCATAAGGAATGATATCATTTTAAAAGCTTCAATCCAAATGAATTTAAAAGTCATAACAAATTTTTTTGAATTGTGTCCAGAAACATGAACTTGCCAGTGCATTTCCTACAATTAAATCCACTCAATTCTTTCATTGCAGCAGACTGAATAATCTGAACTTTCCAAATACTTTGAGAAAAATAAATGATCAGTTTATAACCAGTTTTAAGACTTGAAATGTTGTCCATTTGGTCTTTAGGAGATGCAAGTTTTCAAAGCCCTGACATTTTTGCTATCACTATTTAAGACTTCAATCTTAAAAAAAAAGTTTTTTATACCATAATCTAAAAATTAATGAATTTATATATAAAACCAGGTGGGTCAAATAAAGTAAAATCCACAAACATACATACAAGGTAATACGTGATCTGGAAAATAATGATTGTCTAGTGTGTTATAGTGGACCACATCATGGGGCTAATTCAACAAATCATGGCTAATCTATGAATTAGCCTATGAACCTCACCATATCTCCACAAAAATCTTTCTAAACTTTCTAAGCTGTAAGAGTTTTCCTTCAAAACATTCCTACTCAGCTGTCCCTTCACCACTGCTCAAATATCAGCATCCTTAATCCAGAATGATATTCTGTTTCCTAGTGTCAGGTTTGCCCTTTAGCTACCATTCTGTTGAGCAAAGAGAGAGGCGCTAAGGGACTTCCTGGCTAGAACTCTAGCTAGCCACTTTATTCCATTTAACAAGTAATTAAACAATGAAATCTATTGAACTGCACCATTTGCTATGACAAGAGTTAAGCTACACAAGTTATTTTAATGTATTAATGCAAAAAAAACCATTGTAATCAAATATATTTGCAAGAGATTGGAACTGTGACTCCATATACTTGAGATACCTTTAAAAATGCATTTCCCAAAACTGGCAAAAAGGAGTCTCTTGAAAATTATTCTGTTTATCTTGCCACTACATAGTTATTTCTGCCTTTCTAACCAAACTAAATCAAACGTTTTTAGATAAAAGCAACCCTTGGCTGATACCTAGTTTAAGAAAGCAGTCATCATATTTTCACATTAATAAAGTTAGAAGTAAACATCAAACAGATATTTAATTATGGCCTACCTTGGAATGTATTCGGAGACATTGTATTATCTCAACCAATTCTGGTACTTTCTCCTCTTCAGCTTCTAGAGCCATTATTGAAAGTGCCAGTACTGAAGGCTAGTGGAAAATAAAATAATTAAGATCAATCAAATATGTTAAGCTTTTGCAAGTTGATGAATTGATCACTAATTTATCATAGTCCATACCTTTGCTTTTGAAAGAATAAGTCTGCAATGACAGGCCTTTAGTTGGGCTTCAAGTCTCTCTAATTTAAGATTGTTCCTGAATAAAACAAAGGTTAATTTATTGATTTTCAATATTTTTTATATAAGGATTAGCACAAAGTAAGAAAAAATAAATTGAGTAGTTAGAAGATATGAAAAACTAAGTCATAAAGTGATTTTTAACTTAAATCAAATGCACATTACCTAATATTTGCCAACACATCTCTAAATTCTTAAACTATAAAAAATTATCTAAATATGTTTCAGTCACAGCATATTTAAAAACAGTAATTAACAGTAGTTCAGGCTCAGATTACATTCAGCTACGAAGGAGTATTTTTGGTAGATAAATCATAAGTTCTTCAGAAATTTGCTCTGAGTGGAGAGTAGCAACAGAAGATTAGCAAAATTGAATATTGATTGCCCTTTATTTTCTGTTTTCATTTGGTTCCTCCATGCAGTTCTTGTACTATGATCAAAGCTACCCAAGTACTTTCCACTGCATTCTGCAGGATTGAGGTAAATCGGGTTATTAAAAGAGAGTTAACTCAGTTGCATTTATCTGCATGAAAATGAACTATGTTTGTATGAATAAAATAGAATAGAATAGAATAGAATAGAATAGAATAGAATAGAATAGAAT